ACAATGGGCTATCTGTGCTCTGGTCACCACGCGTATCGAAACCCGGTTTTTAGCGTTGTAAGTCCGCAGACATTCCGCTGTGCCACTGGGAAGGGGGGGGGGTGATTAAATAAAATAAAAATTTACTTTTTTTTTCCAAAACAAGTGTTTTGAATTAAAATATTTTCCAAAATGCCAAAAGTCCTTGATCACTAATAAAAAATATAAAACTTTCATTAAATCTCTGACTTACATGTAATTCTTTTTTGTCAGTTTGGAAACAATTTCAAGCTCACCCTTAAATTATTTTTTGTACTACCATATTGAAAGCTGTATTTTATACTTGTTATTCACATTTGATCGCCAAACTTTAACAAGTAAAACAGCTTTTGAGTTAAATCAAATTTATCTAAGTCTAATATTTTTCATTGTACTTCTTTAATGTTAGAGTTAGAATTTCCTCTGATCTGCTCTTGCCTTTTTTTTTTTCATAGCGAAAAATAATATGTTCTATATAATGAGGCTTTCTCGTTATCGTTATTTTACTCGACATTTTAAGGGATAAAAGTTTCTACCCCCAGTCCTTTCCCGCCGTAAATACTTATTGTATCGTTTATTGAACATTTCCCTTCTGAATAGCTCACAGTCTACTAAAACGTAGCGGGATGATTTCAGTCCTTCCTGAAAAGAAGTGGGAGAGCATTGGGTATATAACAAACGTTATGCCACGTCCCGTGTTGATGGATGGTGAAAAAATTTATGGCACAGCAAGCAAAATTAGACTTCGACCTTCTGCTGTTTATCCTGAAAATATTTAGGATATATTAAGCGCAAAGGATGGTTTAAGAGATTTATACTAAAGTAAGTTATTGGGGGGGGAATTTTGGAGTAACATTGCAGATATAACAAAGTAACTGATAGTTTGGACGAACTCTGGAGTAACGATGCAACTGACAGTTTAGACGAATTCTAGAGTAATAATGCAGGTATAACTACGCAACTGACAATTTGGACGAATGTTGGAATAATAGTGAAGGTATAACGAAGGAACTGATAGTTTCTATAGTGAACACTATCACAAGATAAACTAATGACGCTCAAAAATTGACTATAGAAAAACTAAACTGGGGAATTACAAAAAGTGAGAAAGCGGGAATGGATTTTCGGGAAGATTCTTGAAATTGTCTATTAACTACAAAGAATGTTACGAATATAAAAATACCCGAAAAAGCTGAAAATGAAGTTCTGTCTAGTACATCACAACGCACAACAACAACAAATGTTGAACATACTGCAAAACAACCGGGTCCAGAAACTAAAACCTGATGGATAAGCAACATTATGCAAATTGCACTTGTGAAAATACAATACATTCTGCTCGTCCAGAAGAAGATTTGAAGAACGCAACTTTGCTACCGACGACCAATGATAGAGAAGATGTAACGAAGTCTGTTGTAAAACGGCAGAAAATGGACGACTTCAACAAGTCGATAGAAGATAATATAGAATTGACGACTCCTATCGACAAAAATATATTTGAATTCAACAACAGAACAAACGACAATCGAACATTTCGGAGAAGATTCTGTTGCCACTACTAAATAACTTATTCGTGAATCTAAAATATCTTGCTCGAAGCAGTCTAAAAAAGACTATGGTGAATGCAACTGGCTTTCAGTGTGTTACGGATACAGCAAAAGTTCATTATCTAGGAAATACGTTCTAGCTTGGGCAACGTTAAATACAAGTGTGTGGCTGTGTATTAGTTGGTTTGGTTGTTATTAAACGCAAAGCTACACGATGGGCTATCTGTATTCTGCCCACCAAAGGTATCAAGACCTGATTGTTAGCATCGTAAGCCTACAGACCTGCCTGAGGTGGAGGGTGTTATATTATCTGTTAAATTTGGCTGTAGATTTTTAATATTGTTCTTTTGCACTATTGCTGTAGAAGTATGATTTTTAACGACTATATTTTCTGTGAATTTTAACTGTTTGTAAATATCAGTAGTTTAAAATCATGTATAATTCGTTATTTAAAATTGTTTTTTGGAGTAGTTTGCTTGTTTTGAATGTCGCGCCAAGCTACACGAGGGCTATCTGCGTTAGCTGTCCCTAATTTAGCAGTGAAAGACTAGAGGAAAGGCAGCCAGTCATCACCACCCCATCACCAACTCTTGGGCTACTCTTTTACCAATGCATAGTGGGGTTGACCATCACATTATAACGCCCTCACAACTGAAAGGGCGTGTATGTTTGGTGTGACGGGGATTCGAACCCGCGACTCGTAAATTGCGAGCCGAGCGCCCTAACCACCTGGGCATATCAACTCTTGAAAAATGTAACTTCGTTAAACGAGTCGGGAATAAAGATACCTAAGGAAGAATGAAAAATAAACGTACTGTGCAATTTCTGAGATACACTAATTTCGTTTTTGTCTATTGTCTTATGCTACAGAAAAGAAGAATAATCTCATTTAAAATAGAGCTGAGCGATTTAATCGATTACTTATGAGCAGCGATTTAAACGATTAGTTTCTCGTAAACTAGTTGATTAATCGATTAATGCCCGAAAATAATCTAATTAATCAATTTGGGATTACTGCATATTTTAAAAACAAACATGATGGCGATCGTGTGGTGGTATTTAGTTGACATTAGCAATTTAATGCCCCCAATGGCACAGCGGTATGTCTGCGGACTTACAACACTAGAAACCGGGTTTCGATGCCCGTGGTGGGCAAATCACAGATAGCCCATTTTAATGCTTTATTATTAACTTCGAACAAACAAAAGCAATTCAATCACCAAGTAGGACTATTATATGAATCCAAGGGTAATCCGAAAATTACCTAAAAAACAAAACAATACAAATGCAGTGATTGAAAATGTCTACGAAGTTAGCACACGCTCGTTTTTTTATCGTGTACGAATTGTATAAATAGTAATGTAATCGGTTAGCAAATACCACTGATTGACCAGCTCTGGTTTAAGGTTCACTCCATTCAACATTATTAAAAATAATAATTTAAAAAAAAAATTGAAACTTGCTAAATATAAAAAAAATCTATTATTTTCTATGCGTGAGAAGAGTGTGTACGATGATAATGAAATAAGGGGGAATCACCACATCTATATATTTTTTAATTGATTTGTTAACAAATTGTTCGTGTTTTTAAACGCTTCCCCTAGTGAAAAGGAATAACAAACACATTATTCTTACGAAGATGCAAATTGTTTATGAACCTTTACTCTAGCAGTTTAAGGATAAGGTATGTGAAAGACTAATAAAAAAGTTTCTTAAAAGGGTTTGATTAGTGTCCAGTCTCATCTTGGAGAGCCGGAGATTTTCAGTTTTAATGCTGTGTTTGAAAGAGTGTTGCTTTCTTTCCTTTTCGAACAAAAATAATTGTCGAGTAGGTATGGAACAAAAAAAAGTTACTTTGTCAAAAAATCGTAAACGTTTTAATGAAACATTTATTGGAACATGGAATAACTAAAGGTTCGCTAGGATATTACGTTGAACGAAGAAGTTACCAGATCTAAATTCATGTGTTATTGTGCAGTAGCCCCTCAGCGGTAAGTCTGCGAGCATATAACGTAAAAAAAAAGAAAGAAATGTTGTGCAGTAGTATGACATTTTACTATTTATCAATAATTTTCTATTCAAAAGTGACAAAACGTATTCTTAAGGAATTTGAATATTTATTGATTATATATTCTAAAGTGTGTGAGATGACAAATGCGAAATTTTCATTTTGTGCAAAGACGTGATACAACAGAAATTCGTATATTTAGTAAGGGTGGAAACTTAAAAGTCCATTTAGCGACTATGTAGTAACTTGTATAACTTGGTCTAAAACATTAGACGAGACTGAAGAGAAGAACTCTAATGCAATTCGCAAAACGAAAGGCCGAGAAAGTTTTTAAGTTAGAGGAAAGTACCCTTTATAAACTAGCTAATCCTTAGAATCACATTGTAGCCTATAATTAGGATCAGTTTAGTGATTCATAACGCAATGTGATATAAACGTGAAATATCTATAGCTTTGTTGCGAGAATATAGTCAAAGAATGTAAACCGAGGGTTCATGGTTCGCTCCCCCATTGCCACACAAGAAAAAACTCCTCCCTTTATGAGAGTGTGCACGTTATAAGAAAAGCATAAAGTCCAACGAGTTGGTCAGATAAGAGTAGCGTAAATTGGCGGTGAGTTTAGTTGACTGGATGAAAATTAGGGCCAGGTATATCGCAGGTAGTTGAAAAACCAACTAGCACAGAGCACAGATACTAATCACATTGTGACAATTTCAGAAGTTGTAAATTCAGTTAGTGCAGGTACTGAGTAGTGCTAACTCATTCCCTCTAGACTCATTTCAAAAATAGGGACGGCTAGTGCAGGTAACCCACGAGTAGCTTTGTGCAAAATTCAACAAAACAAACGCATTTTTTACGTTAATTTTACAAATTATTATTCTTAGTTTTTATAAACTAGTTCCTAGTTCTTGCACACCATTTGTATATCTGTAAAATACACATCGATATTGTTTTCATTTTTACAGACCATTTTCAAAAATTATCCTGACTATATTTATAGTTTTTACAAGTGCAAGTTATTTCTCACTATTTTTACAGGCTGTTCTCAAATCTTTATTCACTATATTTTACAGTTTTATTATTTGTTTGTTATTAAGCATAAAGCTAAGCAATGGATTATCTGTGCTTTGCTTATCGCGGATATTGAAACTCGATTTTTAGCGTTATAAGCCCACAGACTTACTGGTGAGCCAGAGGGGGGCTTAAAGTTTTCACAGACGATTTTTATAAATTTTACAGGCTATGTACTGTTACAAGCAAATTTCACAAGATATAAAAGATATTTTTTATAGTTCCTGAAGAATGTATATATAATGTTAAGTTTTTGTACTTGATTTTACAAAAAACAACAACAACAACAACAACAACAAAAATAACTGGTTGTATGTTTATCTAAAAAATCATTCGTACATATTTCAAATTATTAGGTAGGATGAATGGAAGGGAACTGAAATAAGGATAATGAAGATATTTTCCTGCCTGTGTCTGCTTTATCTGGCTATTTCTTTAACAGGTAAGTCCATTTTGAAATAGTAGCGTGAAATAATTACACAATTTTGTTTCTAAACCAATTTAGATGACTTAAAGTTGCTCGTTTATTCACACAGTGTCTTTAAAACTAAAATTGGTCAGGATTTCCAAATCATGTGTTTTTGATAACTATCTACGATTTAGAAGCACTTTGTTAAATACTAGGCCGCTTACTGTCTGAATATGCTGTCAGTATTATAAAAATAAATAATGACGTTTTGGCTACTTTCAAAATTTTATGGAGTCATTCAAATTAAATATATTATTCGAAATTACTTCGTGGTTTATATAGCATTGTGTTGTAATATCTTGTTTACATTAATGAAAAAAGTACAAAATATTGAGAGGTCGGTTTTAAAGCAGATCTTCACATAAATATTTCGATGATTCAAAAGAAACTGCATTTTAGATTAATGTGCGTTTTTGATGGGTTTTTTTATAACAAAAAGACGATGTAAAAATAAATCGACACCATGTGTGTAGTTTCCTGGTATGGAACTCAAATGTGTGATCGACACCATGTGTGTAGTTTCCTGGTATGGAACTCAAATGTGTGATCGACAACAAATTTCAAAAGAGACATTTCGATATAGTACATGTACATAAACAAAATTTTACAATCTTCTCGAGATTTTGCGCCTTCTTTTGTATGATTAGATCTTTATCCGTGATTTTCACTTAAAAGAAATCTGTTTTTGTATGAGTGGATCCTTATTTGTGACTTATATTAAAAATAATTCTGTTTTTATATAACAAAAAATTACTTCAAATCCATTAATTCATAATAATTCTTTCCTTGAATAAAGGTGAATTAATACCTGCTGAATTATGTAATGTACAATTAATTATGTACAATTAATAACTGCTGATGAAATAATAATATTATCGATTAACGATACTGTTGATCTAAGTTAATATACTAACGATATGAGTAGATTATCATATTGCTGATGTAATTAGTAGTTCTGCTAATGTAATTAATCATATCGCTGGCATAAGTAAGTAACCATACTCGGGTTATTGCAAGTAATCATATTACTATTGATTTAAAAAGAAATTGCTTCGAACAGCATGACTGATTAGGTGACGCTGTAAAATAAAATAGGACTTCATAATATAAAAATTCTCCCAAGATTATCTCTTACAACGAAGTGATCTTGTTTCATCGAATGAAAAGATAAAAACTCGCTTAAATTCACGTTCAGTGTTTTATATGGATAAGTGGTGTGGATCAAATATATTTTGATGAAGTTTCTTTATGACCCTGTTTTCCCAGAACACTCGAATCAAATATTGTTTAAAACTATGAAATCCGTTATTTATATTTCTCCTTAGAAAAATCAATGAGAAGAACACTGTTAAGTATCATAGCGACGCACAGGATCTGTAGCATTGTTTATGGAGTCATTAACTATCATATTTATGGTATTTATGTAACTTTTTGACTATTTTATCTTACTGTTCGATTTTGTTATGTGTTACGTGTTTAATATTTCTAACATCAAATGTGACACTTTCGAATTTTAAGCCACTCCTCCGAACATCGAAGTCACGTATAATATGCGAAACTTGAAGTTATCAAGGGATACAAAGCCAGGTGAGCTATATTAGAATTACCAAGTACTTGCAAAATTATCAGTCGATGTGTTAGAACTCCGGAACGTTTACCTGTGTCCCTTTTAAAATAAACAAACAGTTTTATTTGTCATAAGTGTTGTAACATTATTGTCATAAGGTATATTATTTCTGCTTTTACAGAGAGAAATAGTATATCCGATAGGTAGCGCTACGGTAAATAAATGTTGTGAAGCTTGTTTGTAGTTACTCAATCTGTGCTCTGCCTACCACGGGTATCAAAACCCGATTTCTAGCGTTATAAGTCCGCAGACATACGTCTGTGCCACTGGGTGGCTGTTGTGTAGCTCCAGCTAGGACTAGTAAGTATGTAGTTTGACTGTTTTTGCATCAACCGTGTATGAGTACATTCTTCATCCTTTAATACATCGACACGAAGATTATTGTTGTTTATCCCTTATTACTTTAAAGCTGTTAGTTCGTCCGTGTTAACTAAATATTTTGCTACATGGTCTAATGTGTAATTTTGAAAGTTAAGCTTAGCCATTCCGGTAAAACAAAATGAGTCTAACTTTATACATGTTGAACAATGAGATTAATTCTGCTTTTTATAATGTTTAAATTGAATGTTGTTTATTACATATAATATCTCTGATGTTTACCAATCAGTTTAGAGGCTGTTAAAGGTGTGTCGTTCTTGGGTAATGTACTTGAAAATGTCAGAACCCACACTTTGCTCAAAATGTGCTAAAACTAACACATATTGAATATCAGGGACCTCCATATATCGATTAAGAGGTTTCGACGCCGATGGCGACGAGTTGAAATTCAATGTTCGAGGCACCAACGCCGGAGAGCTCTTAGAGGTACGATCTGTCAGCCCTACTGAAGCAAACGTCATCCTCAAAAGCCAACCAGTGGTAAGATTTAGGGGACATGAAATAAACATTGGGAAACATGTGTGGATACAGGGGGAAAAATCAGGTTTCATTAATTTTAATTTATAATACATTAATACACGCTGAACAAAATATATATTTCAATAAGTGTCTTTATTTGTGTAGTATTCAGCCTCAGCTCTTTTAGTTTTTTGAACAATATGATACCATTGAATTCCTTACTGGTTCATATCTCACATAACAGCCATTATTAATGTTATTTTTATATGCTTGTGCCATTTTTTTTGCGGGCATTTTTAATAACGCGCAAAGAACCAAAGCTAGAAATGCGACCATGAGTAAATCAGTGCTAGCAAACCGACCTATTGTTAGGCAACCTAGTGATAGCAGGAATTACGAGATGACAAGCTATATCTTTCTTTTTAATTTGTTCCGGATTCTGCATGTTCCTTGTAAAGCGTGTAACAAAAGTTTATTCTATTTTTTATTTTCAAGTAAAATATATTATAAATGTAGTGAACTTTAACAAGGTTTCCATCATTAAGTATGACAGAAACATCTTATAAAACTGTTCGAAGCTGTGATATTTTACACAAGTTTGAAATAAATATATTTCATTTTTTCTTCCTAGCGAACGCAATACGAATACACAATATTTGTTTCTGACGGAAAAGAGGTAGGCATCATCAAATATTTCTGGTGTCAGTGAATTTTACTTATTTATTTGCTGTTAAACACAAAGCTGCACAATGGATCGATTTCAGAGTTATATTGTTATAAGCCCTCAAGCTCAACGTTTAGCCACAGAGTCATGCCGATGAAATCTGCGATATTAAGATATCCTCAACTATAGAATTACTTTTGATTTCGCCTTTTTCCTCACCCTTCGACCGGAGTGATCTAGTAGTTAGCTGCCTGAGCTATGAATCAAGAGTTCAAGGTTCGCGCCCCGTTACCGTAAGATCTTCCTCCATATTTTGAGTAACAGTCAAATATCACTATTCAATCCCACAAGGATTGCCCAAGAGATGGTAGTGTGTAATGTTGACTAGCTGTCTTCCTTCTAGTTTATCAACTCAAAATTAGGAACGACTATGCGTAGATAGCCCTTGTGTAGCTTTGCGAGAAAAATCGATATCTTTTGTTTGCTTGTAATTGAACACAAAGCTACACAATGGGCTATCTGTGCTCTGCCCACCACGGATATCGAAACCCGGATTCTAGCGTTGTAAGTCGGCAGACACACCGCTGTGCCACTGGGGGTCTTTGTTTGTTTTTAATTATGCACAAAGCTACACAAGGCTATCTGTGCTATGCCCACCACGGGTATCGAAACCCGGTTTCTAGCGTTATTAAGTCCGCAGACATACCGCTGTGCCACTGGGGGGCCTTTTGTTTGTAATAAGTTACTTTTTTGCATTGGTTAACTGGGCTTTTCTTTACATGTATTCTTAGTCTCTTCGATTATCTTATTTACATTATCCGCATAGTTCATTAATCCCTTCAGCGTTTGTGTTAGTAATTATTATTAAGCGCAGTATTCATACCTCATTGGAAAAATTGGAAAAAGTGAACATTTTCTAAAAAAGAAATTCTGAAAAATATTGCACGGAAATAGTGTTTGGATTGTGTTGATATAAACTGTAATATGTTTTTTATGTATTTAAAGTGGTGCCCTTTATTGAAAAAATAACAGTTTTTTAGTACTATATTTGCTATATAGATATTATCAAACTCTCACGCATAGTCCTAGTGAAACTTGTGTTCTTGTTGTGAGGATAGTACGTTTATTTAAAATTGTGTTCTTTTGATAAAGAAATGGTTATTGCACATACAGTAGTTATTTCTCTAATTGTCTGAATCTTGAATACCCAAAGTGTGAAATTTTTTATGGATTTTTGCTTGTAGTGCTATTCATTAGATGGCGCCACACTGTATTTATTATTTCCTCCACATACATAGATAGATCCATATATACACGCTACGTTCATTTTAGTAAGAAAATTTCTTGTTACCCGTAGACTTCATTATTCCCTTCAACCATTGTGTTCACCGAAGCAACAAGAGTTCCCTCGCCATTTCTAGAATATGAACCCATAATTTCATTGTCAGAGGTAAGTAACATACATTGACCTTTCAAAATCTTTAAACTTAGAAATCAGATTGAATTTAAAGAAAAAAAAGCCTAAAGGCATTGTACCTCCCATTGACTCTGATTGCTTTATAGTATATTTATTGTAGCTTGTAGATTTTTAGTATATTTACTGTAGCTTGTAGGTTTTTAGCATATTTACTGTAGCTTGTAGGTTTTTAGTATATTTACTGTAGCTTGTAGGTTTTTAGCATATTTACTGTAGCTTGTAGGTTTTTAGTATACTTCCTGAAGCTTGTAAGTTTCAGTATACTTTCTGAAGCTTGTAGTTTTTTAATATGCATCCCGAAACTTTTAGGTTTTTAGTATACTTCCTGTAGCTTGTAGGTTTTAAATATACTTTCTGTAGCTGGTAGGTTTTAAGTATACCGCCTGTAATTTTTAGGTTTTCAGTATGCCTCCTGTACCTTGTAGATTAGTTGTTTATTAAAGAGCGTATCCTGTAAAATGATGAGCTTTAAATATAATATCATAAAAAAGATGATAAATTCATATATACGTTATTTGAATTTCCTGTAAGATCTTCTTGGTATCAGTAATTGAAAAATGTTCGTTAAATAAGATATGGTACACACACACACACACACACACACATATATATA